CTGTCTAAAAAAAAAAAAAAAAAACAGCTGGTTAACTTGATACGTCTTTTAAATATGTAGGTATACAGTGTGTGGGCCCCTGTCTGTGCTCTTGCGCTGGGGCTGGCGGAGAAGGCAATGAGACAGACATCCCAGAAGCTCGTCTATGAAGAGATGGCAATAGGCAAAGGATTAGGGTAGAAAAGAGTGGCTGTTTGTTTGTTTATTTTCTTTTGCTTAAGATATGATAAACGTAAGCATATTTACCCACAGGAGAAATTGTCCAGTAGAGAGAGAGTCTGGAGATACGGGGTAGGGCAATGCCCGTAGAGCATCCCTGAGTAGCTGGGAGAGCACGGAATTCACAAAGCCGTGGCAGCAGGTGGCAGCCGCAGAGAGAAGGAGCAGTGCTCATTTTTCTGAGTCAGGAAGGTCCCTGGAGGCCCAGGATAAGACCAAGACAGTGAGTGGTTGAAACGAACTTAAATCGAACAATTAATAATTGTCTGAATTTATCTTTTATCTCTCCTTCCAGGGGCTCTGACAAGTATTAAATACAATGAGAAGTAAAGAATTTGAATTATTCTGGGGAAAGAAATTAGTAGTCAGTTCCAGCGTGCCATGTTGAAGCGAATTTTATCACTTAGTATGGGGAAAGAAATCTAGACCTAAATATTACTGCCAGAATACTGCCTGGCTTTTTTAAAACAAGGTGACGAAATGTCAGATTAATTAGTGTAATCCATGTCACTCGTAAATCTAGTACCATAGTTCTCAAACTATAGTTTTGATTTTGCAATGCCTGGTTCCCTCAAAAGCTATTGCAAAATCACACCCAAATACTCAAAACCGGTTTAATTTTGAGTCACCTTAAAAGTTGTAAATACGTTTGCACTCTGTGTCGGCATTTTGTAAGACAGAGGAGAAGTGGTGAAATCAAATTAAAAATAGTAAGATTTCACAATGCCCCAAAGCCTGTAACTTACTATACTAAGTAGTGGGAATCATTCAAAAGTTCCGAAGTAAAGTGAACGTATACTATTGATACGCGAATACAAGTGGGAGAATTAAGATTGATTTGGGACTGTAAAATCAAGGAAGTGAAATGAGCAATGTCAGCTTAAGAACACCCAACTTACAAAGCTGGGTAGGTAGACAGGATAGATTAACAGATCCAGACAGAATCATGGTGAACGCCCCTCCCACATTCAACGGCAGACGCTGAACAGGGCCAGGGAGGAGCCATTCCTTTGTGCCGATGCAGCCAAACGTCTTCTAAATGGGGGCCCGTTTTCACTCTCCACCCCACCCTCCGTCAGATCCGCTCCTCTTTCCATGAGGGGTTTGCAGGGGCAGCAGAGGGTGCCAGGTTCCAGAATTTCAACTAACTCATATCCCACTGAAAATACATTTAAAGGCTATTACATTTCCAAACTGGATTACAAAAGTCTTTTTAGCCCATATCATAAGTAAAATAGCTGTGAATTTTCTCTGTGGACAAATACGCTCTGAGTTCCAAAGAACCAACTTAGGAAAATAACTTTTGGAACCAACACATTCCTACATTGGGAAGGGCTCGACAGTCTGTTCTTCCTCACCGTCACCCCTTGTTCAATTTATTTCTTAAGAGAATAAAGTCTCTCATTTGCTGTGTGCGAAGGAGAGCCCAGTCATTCCTGAATGGGGGCTCACTGTGTAGCTCTGTAGATGAGCAGTTAACCGGGAGATCGAGCATGAGCCTGGGCTAAGAACATATTACGCATGTTGACATCTGCTGGCCTCAGGCCCTCCCGGCCCCGGCAGTGATAGAAACATTCGTCAACACCCTTCCTGATGTCGGCACAAAGGACGGGCTGGAGAGACTGTGGATGAAGGCAGGGAAGCTGAGAGAACGGTTCTCACCTGCAGGTCCCCACATGGGAGACACGAGGGCCCAGAACAAAGGAGTGGCATTTGGGGCGAGGAAACGTTGGCCAATAAGAGATGCCGCAGAGGTGGAGTCTTCAGGGCTTGTTGCGTGATTGCTCGTGGGACAGGACAGGGTGGTGAGGAAGGGCCGAAGACCCGGAAATCCTTCTTCTGCCCTCCCCCGGGTTAGCGCTGCCCACTCCCGTCTCCCCTGTGACCCCACACAGCCTCCATTCTCTCCAGGTAGCGACTTAGCCCCAGACTGGCCTGGAGGAAGACAGGAAATGTGACTCATTCATCTTCCCTTCCTGCAGCAAGCAGGTGCGGCGCCCTGCACCTAACAGTCTATCAGAGTACGTCTGAGGCTCACCACCCCCTGCTGCTGCACGAGTAGGCTCCACGTCTCCCTCACAGAAGAAATAAGGCCACCTGGGACTCCCAGTCCTCCATTCCTGGGGCTTCACTCAATCAGCATGCATCCTCCCCTGCCTGCCCTGTGTTCTGGGAGTGGTGATCTCCTCTAGGCTGAGTCACCCCTCCTCAGGATCTACTCCAAATTTTCCAGCAAGTTTTCTTCTTTTTATCCTACCTCTGTGTCCCAGAATCTAGCCCTTCTTTAAATGCATTTACACATTTTCTGCTAGAACTTTTTTTTAAGAGACAATCTGGCTCTGTCGCCCGGCTAGAGTGCAGTGGCGTGATCATAGCTCACTGCAGCCTCAAACTCCTGGGCTCAAGCTATCCTCCTGCCTCAGCCTCCCAAGTAGCTGGGACTATGGGTGTGCACCACCACACCTGGCTATTTTTAAAAATTTTTTGTTAACATGGGGTTTCACTATGTTGCCCAGGTTGGTCTCGAATTCCCAGTCTCAAGCCATCCTCCCACAGTGCTGTAGTGCTGGAATTACAGGCATGAGCCACCATGCCCAGCCTCTGCTGGGACATTTTATCTGTACAGTACTTTGGTACATTGTGGCTATTTCTTAGTAAACATCGAAGAGAGCTGCTTTTGTTCAAGTGCAGAGTCCTGCAGAGTCCTGCTCAACACCCTCTTGGTTTTCACATACCTTCTGAAGAAGGCCCTTCTGAATTTTTTTTGCATGCCTAAAAGCCAGTGGGGTTTTGCACAGGGACTGCAATGGCTGAGTTCAAGGCAGAGTGATATAATAATAGTTGTCTAAGAACAACTTGTACCTCAAGTTTATCACCTTGATGAATAAATAAGTTATCATTTTTCTATGGACCCCATTCTCAAGTGGTCATGGTGAGTTCTGTAGCTCACACTCTCTCTTTACTCATAACTTACAAAAATTTTACCTAAGATTATTTACTTAACCACTTTAATTCAAGTTGACTCTACATAAGACATTTAATTCAACAAATATTTATTAAGCTCCTTTATAAAAGGGACTGTGACAACTTTCTGTCCTTTCATAGGGTATCCAAGCTCATCTTGCAAGATAGTCCCCATGTCTTGCTACTGCATTACCTACAAGAGCCAAGTGTCAACTTTATGCATAAAGATTCTCACTGTTTAAGCTCTTTTAAATCATTTCTGAAAATATTTAGTAAACCAGTGCCTTATCCTTGATAGGAATACTCCCCCCAAGATGCTTTAATTTTATGTGTCGATGTGGCTGGGCCCCGGGTGCCCAGATATGTGGCCAAACCTTCTTCTGGATGCTTCTGTGAAGGTGTTTGTGGATGAAATTAACATTTAACTTGGTGGATTTTGAGTAAAGCAGATTGCCCCATAACGTGGGTGGGCCTCATCCAGTCAGGTGAAGGCCTAAACAGAACCGAACGCTGACCTCCCCGCAGCAGGAGGGAAGCTGCCGCAGATGGCCTTGCAGCATCGGCTCCCACCTGGGTCTCCAGCCTCCTGGCCCACCCTGAAAATTCTGGGCTTGCACGTGAGCCAATTCCTTAAAATAAATCTCTTTACACACACACACACATACATACACACACACACACACACACACACACACACACACACACACACCCTATCAGTTCAGTTTCTCTTGTGAACCCTAATACACCCCCATTCACCATTCAGGTTTTCGAGGGGAAAATACCATCTTGGCAGCAGAGGACACCCTGGGTAGGGCTGGGAGATTGTTGGAGATTCTGACCAGTGTTCTCTCTGGGGAAGGGATGGAGGGAGGGTCTGCTACTTCTGAGTCCTGTAGAGAGATGCCCCTACGGCAGCAGACAGCTCAACCGCCATCTCATTAGGTACCACAGGAGTTTGATTCATGACTGGGGATATGACAGGGGGGGAAAAGTCCCTGGGAGAGCTAGGGGAGGGAAGTGGACCTCTCGTGGTAGAACCCCAGAGCAATCAAAGAAGCCATGTAGGCCTCTGAGAAGGCATCAAGGCATCAAGAAGGCATCAAGAATTCATGCTATTTGATTAATTGATTTAAAATATGTTGAAGTTTCACGTTCAGGTTCCACTGTGTATTTTTGGTGCATTACTCTGTGCCGTTATTTCATCCAAGACCAGAGGAGGCTGCAAATTGCCTTCTCCACGTTAAAACCCTTCTTACCACATCGATGCTGACATGACACAGGTACACGCAGTATCTACCCTGCTCTTCCTCCACCGATGCCAGTCCCTACTGCTCACAGAGGGCAGTGACACTTTCCTTCACTCCTGGAGCCCACAGCTATGCCACCGGTATGCACTGTATGCAGTGAATGTCACATGTGCATGGTGCACAGCTTTGTGAATCACTTTATGTTTTGAAGACACTGTTTCAAGGAACCTTTACAAGTGTCTCATTTCTAAATGTCACAAGGCATTCTGATTTAAAATCATAACCTCTCTCTAATGTATTAGCTTACAAAGTTCCATTTTTTGCCTAGGAGGTTTAATTAAAGCAAGATAAAACTATATTTAACAACATTCAGTTGCCCGAAAGAGTTATTCCAGAAAATGCCTAATGTATTACCGGAAAGTAGCTTATTGTCTCAAATAAATGTCAAGTTGTCCAAATCAAACTGATAGGCAACTTAATAAGGGATAAATGTCACAATTATCCATATTTTTACACCATTTTTTTTTTTAGAAAGAAAACATTCACACAGTGAAGGGAATCAGAATCTGTTTTTATATCCCTAGAGTTATAAACATTTGTATCAAAATATTTACAATTATAGTATATGAAATAATCTATTAATGAAGAAGCCAAATACAGTACTAGAACAACCCACCAACGTAATGCAAATTACATGAGACATAAATGTCACAGAAAAAAAGTAAAAGACAAGGGAATACATGGTTTACTCCAGTCATGGTTCAGTTTCTTAACAAAATGTGAGTATCTCTTTTGGATATATCTGATATGTAAGTATACTTCTGCACATAAGACAGCCTTCTATAATCATGTGATAATTCAATCATAATTAAAATGTTCATCATCCCACAGTTTATGCCGGCAAATTTCTCTAATCCCAGCCCAGGTCATTTGGGAACCTGCCTTCAACATTTCCTTAACCAGAATAAACACAGAGAAATATACTTAGTAATAGTCCCTTTACATAAATACCAGCAATCATGGCCTAACAACTCCCTAAATAGGAAAGGTATAAAAGAAATGGATTGAGGAGAAAACTAATGGAGAAAAGTAGGCAAGATATCTCAGATTCTCCCTGGGGTAGATCTTCTTCTCAGGGTAATAAAGGAAATGTCTTCCCCCCCAAAAATCCCTTTAGGCAGAATCTGAGATGGCTTAAAATAGCTGCTCTAGAGCAGAGCGATGCCTGCTTAACCAGGAATAACATACTACCTCTAAGTCCTATAGAGAGATTCTCCTGCGGCAGCAGACAGCTCGACTACCATCTGACCAGGTACCACAAGAGTTTTTGCCTTTTTTTTTTTTTCTATTCTAAAGAAAAGATCTGCCCATCACCTACATTTTGATTTATCTCATGGGATTATCTTATTTTCCTGGGAGCACAGGCATTCTGTTCTCATCATGACAGATATATAGTATGCTTAATATTTCACAATTATATAGCACCTTTCACCCAAGGGCCTGTTTTTTGGTTTCATTTGGTGCGTGTTTGAATTAGCTTCCAAAATGGCCACGCCTCACCTGTGAAGTGGGACAGGTGGGGCCTCTAAGAGGTGACCACTTCAGCCAGGTGTCAAAGCTAGAGCTACGACTGAGCCTAGAAGCCCGGTTCCCCAACATGGATAATCAGACACAACTTACTCAAAAGTTTATAATTTAGAGGAAGAATAGTAGGATTGTGTTATAAGGAGCCGTGTCCATCTCTCTCCTGTTACATACTTAAAAGATACATTGACTGCATTGAGGGGAATCCTAAAAACATAACTCTGATATAGTACTGCTGTAAGATTGCCCCTTGGATCCCCTAGTCTGTGTGGTGCTTTCATTAGTGGCTTCAGAGAAACTCCAGAAGAGCTGCCTTGGTTTTAAGTGAGAGGCCTAGCAAAGTCCACGGCAAGAGGAATCCACGAAGGACAGCCATGTGAAGTCTGGTCTGGGCTCTGACCAGCCCCCAGGCCTTCCGCTGGGAAAAGTTCTCTCTCTTGGTTTAGCTAACCCACCAACTTGGCCTTATAAACCACCTCTCTTCCTCCCATTCTGTCACTGAATTCCACAGAGCTAAGTATCTGTTCTCGAAAGGGACATCGGCTGGCTAGCCAAAGCCCTCCGGTAGGCACTTCGGACTCGAATGTGATGTGTGATGTTTTGCTTTGGGTCAGAAGCGGGATGACTTCCAGGCTTAGCATATTCAGCACAAAGGCAATACCTGCTCTTGCCAAAACTTGTACCGCTATTTTAACTTGGTGCAGTAGGTATGTGGACCTCAGTGCATGACCCAGAATTCACCCTCAGAAGTGGAGCCCAAGGTGGGGCAGCTGACGGGCCCCAGGCAGTGAGAGTTGCTGAGAACAGCTGGAGGCCAAATCTGGCGCTGGAGGGAGGCTCTCTGGCCGGCAACAAGGGAGCACCAAAGTACTAGCCAACTTTCACCCAAGGGCAGGGGCTTGGCAGTGGAGAATCTCCTCAGTAACGGTTTGGGTTTTGGCCTCTTCCCACTTCCTCCCCCTTCCCACCCCCTCCCCTGTCTTGGTTTTTCCTACAGCATCTTCCACCTCCCTCCCAGGTTCAACGGTCCTCCTCCCACCCCCCAGATCCCCGTGAACTTGTTCAGCCCTATTTCTTTCTCAGGACCAGGTAGAGAATGCCGATGATAAAGCTGAAGCAGAAGCAGATCCAGGTCAGGATGAAGCAATAGCCGTGGTGATTCTGCGTCCCCAGGAAGTAGTCTGTATTGCTGTTTGCATAATGGTGAGTGTAGACAGACGCCCCGATCATAATGCATAGCCCTGCAGGAGGAGGAAAAAGATGTGTAAGTTTTTGTTAAAAGCAAGAAAAAGTTTTTTTATAATTTAAAGATCCTATTTCCCTCCTTGGCAATGGGAAAATAAACTCTGGTTGTTTGTCCCTAAACAGTAGTTCTCTTGATTTGCCCTGGACCAAGCTTGACAGTAGTGTTGATAGATGAGTGGTGTCTGGGCTCCCATATCTGCACCGGTTTGTGTGGCTGCAAATGGGAAATAAAACACGGAATGCCAGGCCCGCCACCCAACTGTCCCATCTGGACCCCAGCATGGCTAGGCAGGCTCTTCAGGGAGCCTTCCACCAAACTGGGTGCATTGGGGAAGAATGACAGGCGAATGAGAATCGCAAAAACCTCGTGCACTGTGGCAGTGCACATCCTTCCTCAGACCTCACCTCCCGCGAGTGCCTTGTATACCCGCGCTACTGATGGGAGTGGCCCCCACCTGGTATCTACCCAGGAGCACTGGTTTTAAACAATGAAGCAAAACAGGCTTCTTAATCCAAAGTCCTCCACAAGAGAACAAATAACCAGAGGAGAAAAATGTCCAAGGCAGTTTCTCTGAGCCATGTACTCGTCTGTTCAAGTTGCCAGGAGCACCCGTGGTAAAATGGACGTACAGGCTTCTCCTGCATAAACTGGAGTCTGCCCCTGAGATACTCACAGCACACCAGCATGGTGGCTCCCGAGAGGAGGAACCGGTTTCCCTTCTCCATGGTGAAGAGCTGGAACACGAAGACCACGAGGGAGATGACGGAGAAGATGATGGACAGAATCGTGAAGGCCTGCACTGTCTTGAGGGCATCTGTGGACACAGGTGAGGAGAGCAAGGGCATTAGGCCACCCCAGGGGCTGGACGTGTCCCTGACCACACCATTGTCCCCTCCAGATCCATATCTTTATAACTACCTTCATTGGCATATGGCAGGGAGTCGTTACAGCTGCCCGAGGAGCAGAATTTCCAAAGACCTACTGACATATCTGTGCTACTTGAAACCAGCCAGACCTAAAACCAGAAGGAAAGAAAAAGTGGATTAAAAACTGATCCTCTGCTTTAAAAAGAAAATAACAGATCAGTTTGCGCCAGGACCAAATCTTAATCAAGACACTCTATTTAGCCAGAAATATGGCTAAGCAGACTATCTCCGGATGGAAATAGGTCTGATTAAAACTGAAGTCACAAAGGTCCCCAGGGATAAAAAAGAGAAGAATGTGAAACCTGGGAAAACAAAAATCTCCTAGCCTCTCTGGGCTTCACATTCTTCATGACTTTAAAAAAAAATGGAAGTAATTTAACCACAGTGATGTAAAATTCTAAGTTTCTAAGAAAGAGAAAGCCGGGGTGAGGACATTGGTTTTAAGTAGGCGCAATTCATACCCTCTATCAAGACTGTTTCATTGAAGGGCCTGGCTAACAAGGGGGGAGAATGTTAAGGAAAATGTCCAACTGGAGATGACTAAGAAACATAAGAGCTACTGGGAAAAGCGCAATGAGTCTGGGTGGTCAATAAGCCACTTTCGTCTAAACAGAAGGATCTGATTTGACTGTCACAACATGCAGAGTAATTTCATAGTAACATAGCACAGCGGGAGCTTTCCTGTGGGGGCCACTGGAAGTGGAAGGGTGACCAGAACAGATTCCCCGGGCATCACTTCCTACCTGGCCCAAAGAAAACAATTATCCTTCTGGAATAGAAAACAAATGCAGGGTCCAGTCTACACACACACATACACACGCAAATGCACCACGCAAATGCACCATGCAAATGCACACGCTGGAAAGGCAGGACCAAGGACATGCAATCACCTGCTCTCCATTCAATAAACAACCGTGTGCTGAGCCCTACATTAGGGGCTGATGACTCACAGATACGCAGCACCGTAGCACCCATTCATACCCTCTAAAGAAGTTTATCGGACTTATGCTGAGAGATCTAGGAGCTGGCATACAGAATGACTAAATTACAAAATCTGGAGGAGGCCGCACGGGCAGGGGTTGTATCTTACCACAGTTACGCTTTAATGAGCTTTGCATGTAATCGCACCCACGTGCATTTCCAAAGCTTGTCTGAACTTTAAAACCTATTTATCCTTTAACTGTTAAAAGGACCTAAACAGATTCTGGAACCATCGTTTGCCTGTCTAGTGACTGGTGGCCTTGGTTTTTAAGTCCAAGGAGCTGTCTTCTTTTTTCTGAGAAAAGCACAGCCAACACAAGTCGGGCGCTATCCACTGCCACTAGAGGTCAGAGTAGCCCAAGGTTCAGAGAGAAGAGACTAGCGATACCTCCGCAGGATATTTTTATATTGTTTTGTCTGAGTGAGTTAATTCAGTGGCACCAGGTAAATCTTGCAAAATTTCACTTTCACATGCTACTCTCCACTTAAAACTTGAATTCGTCAGTCTGGCAATCAAAGCCTTTCCTCCCCTCACTCCTTCCAATCCATCCTCCTAATCCAAGTTCCCAGAAGGAAGGGACGTTCTGCTCCAGCCACGTGAGTGTCCTTGTTATGCCATGACCAAAGCTGGTCCTTCCCACAGGTGCCCCTGTGCTAGCACCCGCACCTGGAAGGCATCCCTACATTCTTTCCACCATCCGTCTTTCACTAAGGGAAACCTCACCCGTCCGCCAGTCCTCCAAGTTCCCCTAAAGCCCCTCTAGAGACTGAAGAGGCCCCACTGTATCCTCCAGCCTCTAAATGCCCACAGCCCTGGCAAGATCACTCATAGGAACACTCACTTTTATCCTCTTGTCATTTAATTGTTTGAAGTGCAAGTGTGTGTTTATTTTTTTTTTCCACGACTAAGCTGTAAGTTCACAAAGGGCAAGAATTATGGCTTAAACTCCTTTTGTAGTACTTGGTGCAAATATTCAAGTGATTTCTTAATGAATGAGAGAACAAAAGAACGTTACTCACGTTGGCAATGGTGGAAACAAATAGCATGATAACGGTGGCGATGTGGACCACAAAGATACCAGCCAGCAAGACCAACATCTTGGCTTCTTTGGTAACTCGTGAACAAAGAGAGTTCTGAAAAGAAAAAGGAAGGGACAAAAAGATTACCATTGGATTCAGTAAGACAATTCGGCTTTCCCACATGTGGGCTATCTGCTAAAATGGGGAAGATTTGCAATAAAAACCATCACAACTTCCTCAAAAATTCCTGAAAATACCTTGTTAACTTAGCTCCGATATGACTAAGTGCTTGTTCATCTATTTCCACATACCTAAATGTAAACATAAGTCAGTTTCTTCTCAGGTATCTACCTACCCATTTCTCTAATACGGCCTATTTCAAAAAAGAAGTACATTTTACGACAACTGTTAATATTTTATTTTGTTTGTGTTTCAGAGGCCAAAAGTAGGACTCCGATTTTTAAAGGGCCTTTGTAATTTTCAGGTCTCTGTGCGACGATGTCATAGAAATTTCCATTTTCCACTAGGGACATGTCCATGCTTCCATCAAATTGCTCATCCAGAATTTTAGTAGAAGTGAATGCCTTCTACAGTATAGCAACTATTACTCCATGCCCAGAGACTGAATAGGCTACTAATTTGATCCTGGGTGAGATATAAAAATGTGAGAGACACAATTTCTACTATAATAATGCTGTTTGGTTTTCAATAATTATAACAACCTAATTACAGTTTAATGGTCACCTACTGATTGAACATTTCAGACGAGTATTACTCCACCTGAGCCTTTGGGCTCTGTGTGCTCCCTGGTAGAGAGCTTGCTATAGGTCTGGGGCAGAGTGCTATATTTCCTACAGCTCAGTATGACCGTTCTGAGGGCTTTAAAAACCTGCAACTTGAGACACCACCAAATGTGCCTTCCGCTTGTGCGTGATATTTACACGAATTCCAATCCTTCAGGACTCAATACAGAAGACAGGCAAATGCATAAATCACAGGGTGGGGGAATTGGGAACGAATACTGATTAACGGTGTGCGTGGATAAACAAAAGCTTTCAGCCATGATCTCAGCAGAGTCCAAGAAGGGAGCCCATGGATCATAAAGCCTAGAAAATAAAGGAAGTGTGAAGGACCCAGCGGGGGAGGCCATCCTGCTTTAGGTCAACGGCAGAAGGAGCGCTTTGTCACTCCCAAGACAGTTAAAATGCAGTGCAGGCTCCCGAGGGACATCAAAAGGAAAGGGCTGAGGTTATTCACACCCCAGGCAGAGTGGGGGTGTGGACGCCCCGCACATCCTGCGATTGTCCCACTGTCTTTCTCTCTCCACCTCATTTAGTTGACGCTCTGAGTGTGCTGGAGCAGGTACTTATTCGAGCGCACTGATACTATCGCTCCAGCACTTATAGGTGCCTTTTCTCTCCGCTCACTTTCCTCCTCAGATGCTCAAAAATCTAGAATGATCTAATGTACACCAGGGAGCCTCGCTCTCTGCAGGCAAGAAACACAAGGAGAGGCAGACACGGGCTTCTGCCACCCACCCTAACCACCCCCAATCACCTTTCCCCAAGCTGGGGGCACTTCCCTCCAAGCCTGGCTGTTTTGCAGGAGTGAGTCCAATTTCACCACGAATGCAAAAATGATGGCATTTATCCTGCTTCCTCGGGAGAGAGCTTGCTATTAATAATCTCTCCACACACTCAAATTCATTTTTGCTTTTCTCAGGTTCTCGCGCACCTCCACAATTTTCTGCCTGACTTTACTGCACAGTGAGAAGAGGTGTTTGGATCAGACGAGAGGCTGGGTTAGAATCATATATAGTTATTTGACGGCTCAGTCTCAGTTCCCTCGTATGTAAAGTAGAGGCTGCAATGTCAATTGTACAGGGAAGTGTGAGGATTAAATTGGATTATGTACATGAAGCACCTAGCGTGGTGTCTGGCACATGGCAGGTACTCATAATGCAGTTGCTTCCGTCGTGGGTGTTATTATTACTGTTATTCATAAGTGAAGCTGCGGGTGCAGCTGTTGCCAACCCAGCCCAGTTACTTAATCGGCAGGCTGCTCCATGTTCAGTGCAAGTATTAACAATAAGATATCTGCTCTCTCGTTCACAGGGCAGTGTGTATAAAATCACATTGGTCCTCTCAGTCATTTTGTCTAACCTTGAGTGGAGAGACCTGTAAGAAGACGCCCTCAGGAATGACCAGGAGAAAGTTCACTCTCTCAGCCGATCCTCCTAACAGCCCCAAGCATCACACCTCACCAGACCCTGATCCCCTGGACACTTAACTCGCGAGAAAGGAACAGGCTGACTGCAGAGAATTACGAATATTATATAACGAACGAGCACTTATGTGTAATCCTCCTTGGGCTCTTTAAAATATGACTTCCTCTGCCCGGCTCACATTCCCTTTGGTTTGGTTTATATGTTTATTTATTCATTTATTTATTTTTAGAGACAGGGTCTCACTCTGCTGCCCAGGCTGGAGTGCAATGGCGTCATCATAGGTCACTGCAGCCGCGAACTCGTGGGTTCCTGGGCTCAGGTGATCCTCCTGCCTCAGCCTCGCAAGCAGCAAGAGCTGTAGGTATGTGCCGCCACGCCTGGCTAACAGTCTCCCTTTTGCTGACCCGTCTGGCTGCACCTCTGCCTGGGCTGTGTGTCGTCACAACCACATACGCTCTCTTCTGATCTAACGCAGTCCCAAGAGGTCACCGTGCCCCCCGCCCCGCCTCCGCTGCAGGAGCTAGTGGAGGAATCGGGCAAAGAAGCGACTCTCTGTCGTCTCAGATTCTTGTGATCGTGCCGTGTCTTTTCACCGTGGAAAGGACCAAAATGTCTCGGATTAGCAAATGTTCTTATTGTATAAGACACACAATTCTCTCTGTTTTTGGCTGCTGTGTCCAACCAGAGGTAGAGGCTGTTCAGCTGGAGCTATCACATAATACACGTCACTTCTCCATCTTTCGCTGCCCACATTCGCCAGGTTTTATTAGTATCATCCATCGCCAGCTTAGCAGGGCTTCCATCATTTTCAGTGGCCTTCCCCCAACACGTTTGAAAACAGAGTGAATTTTTTAAATTTCTAGGCTGGATCATCACTAGTTTCCTAGTCTCTATACTGTACCAGAGAGATCCCCCCACCCCACCCAACAGAGAAACCCCCAGCCCGGAGGGAGGCAACCTTTGAGGTTCTGTGGAGCCCCATCAGTGGTACCCAATGAGTGAGTGTCTGGGAATCCATCAAACAGCAGAGCAGGATAACGGAAGAGCCCGTGCTCTTGAGACTTCTGCCCGCCCATTACTTGTAGCAGGGAGACTCATTCCCTTACCCACTGTGTACACTGCTTCAGACAAAGGCACTGAACAAGACCACTTATGACCACTTAAGACCACTTAAGATCACTTAAGACCACTTTCATGTATATCATTGGAAGTATTGGCTGCTACAACTTTCTTCCTTCGCAGTATATTTCACTAAAACAACAATAACAGACTTCTCCCTCACACCTCTCTAAGATGCTACGGGTGGCACTGTCCAGTGGAAAGCATAGCCTAGTCACAGCTGGGCAGCTCACAGCAGGAAGCAGGGCGTAACAGCACCGCAATTCTGAATACTCCGGAGCAAAGCCTGCTTCTTGCAGAGCATCTGTGCGCTGGGCAGTCCCAAAGTTTGTCACTGGTTGTCAGGAACTCCCATAACAACATCTATTGATGGTGCTTAGACTCCCCTATCTAGGCCACCAGAGCGAGTCAACTCATCGTGGTCTTGAAGGGTAGGTCGTCTGCTGACCTCTCGGTGGGATGTCAGGAACAGGTGTCCGCATCCACCACTGCGAGCGGAGCAGGCTCTGCCTCTTGAGCCTCACCTCCCCAACGTGCTCGGCACAGGGGTGGCCAGGGGCCAGGTGGGAAACTGAGGAAGGTACAGGAGGCATGAGCGTTGTCTCGGAGAGAAGGGATTGTTCAGAGAAATGGGGATCAGCACACACAGGGCTCCAATATCCCTTTGCTGTTCTTTCTGCCTAATGCCTGCCGGTTTCCCTCCCACATCGCCGGCTCCTGTCTCTGACCCGTCTCTCCCTTTCCCCTGCATTGCCCAGACCACTGCAGCAGCAGCCCCTTTATGCTCCTGGCTCCGATGCAAGCCTCGCAACCACCGACCATTCTGAATTTGGATTCAGTTCTTCGCTCATAGAAAATGGACTATAGTTGGTAGAAGTAACCCTGAGCATGACAGTTGGGTGACTGTAGCTATAAAGGACTAACTAAGGTGGGGGCGGGGGGATAGAGGGGGAGATAACCACCCTCTCTAGTTGTCTCATCCATTTAAACCTTTATTGGCTTCCCGTCTCCCTCTGGCACCTCCCCACCCCACACACAAAACGAAAGGAATCAAAGGAAGATAACCCTGAGGCTGCCTCGCGTGACCTCTTTGCCTTTGTTCAGGGAGCCCAGCAGTTTTTGGGTGCTCTGCCCAGTGAGAAGTTAATCAGATCCCGTGGGAATTAGTTAGTTTCTGATGGGAAACTAATTCTGCAGCAACTGTCCAGACTAACTGGCTTCTAAGGAACGGCAGGGAAATTCAGATGTGCATAATTTGGCTCCGTGTGTGCTAAGCTAGGGGTCAGATAACTTCTTCCTGTTGTGGAGTCTGTGTGCTGATGGAGCTGCCACCCGGGTCTGGGGGAAGCAGTTCTCCAAGGGTGGTCCAAGGCACAATAATTGGAAGCACTGCAGTAGAAGAGAGTAGCCAGAAACCCACTGCTGGGGAAGGAAGTGGTGGGAATCCCAGGCCTGAGTCACTGAAGACTCAGCCTGAGCCTGGGGACGATGTGAACAGCGGGGGAGTCTCGCAAGGCTCAAATTTCTATGATTCACTTGCGAGTGGGTGAGAGTCTCCCGTATTGAAAGGCAATGTGGCCACCGTGTCTACCAGGCTTTCCGAGTGGCGTGTGGATGGCTCCAGCTGGCCGGCTGCAGCCAGCTTAGGCAGCTTTTCTGGAGAGAAGAGTGCAATCATGGCCAGAGGCCAAATTCCTTATCTCTCCTTCCTCTCATCCCGGTTTTATTGCCCAAAACATCACAGTGATGAGTTCCTAATCTCCACTA